AACGAATACAAATGCAGTGCTCTAACAAGCTTACCTATCCCTTCCTGCAGTCCCTAAAAGGGAAAAATGAATTGGTTAACATTACAATCAAGTTGGGAGGAGAAAGGATGGAGAAATTGATAAAACTTTTCGTAACCCCTTCCTAGGAAGCAACCCACAAGAGTAAAACTGATGCCAGAGGTCTCTGAACATGGCATTTTGGGCCAGATTGGGTGTCAGTGTTGCAAGGAATGCTGATGAAGGATTTATAGAGCGTAAAAATCTTAAAAACAAGAAAGAAAACCATGAAACTTCCGATAAATGGAATTAACGCTTAGTCTCAGTTACATGTCTCTTTCAGTTATTTAACTGTTCAGTTAAGCACTTAAATCCAACACCATAGAAGACTTAGGTCGGAGGTTTAGAAGAACCAGGTAACGTATTAACAAGTGAAGTAGACTGGAAGTCACCGTTAAGACCTACTCAGAATATTTAGAATATTGTTTACCTTTCTTGGGAAGCCATAAGATGAAGACAACAAGAGCAATGATTATGACAACAAGGATGCCGATCACGACTCCCAGTACGGTGCAGCTGCAAGCACAATCTCCGCACGCTTGACCTGTCAATAGAACAATAAAAAAAAGTCATTAGATCTCTTTCAAAGCAAACGTATTTGTTTTGCTTGTGATGTCTCACTGTCTTTCTATGACTGGCTGCACGGCTGGCTGCCCAAGCCTGCCTTTCTATTGTTTTGCCCTTTTGTCCATCAATCCTTCCCTCTGTTTGTCTGTCATTGGTTGTTTTAAGCGAGACTGACAACAGCAAGGTCTAGCAGTGCATTACTCTTTGGTGCGATCTCGGTAAACAAAAAGCACTAGCTATAGTTCACTTAAATCTATTAATTTCCTGGTGCTCGACACTTTAAATCGGTCTTAAATGTCACTTTTTTCTACGTTAACTAGATATCTTCAGAGTACAAAATACGTGAAGCTCATTTAGCGAGAGGCGAGAAACCGCATAAACCTAAGGGACTTTGAGAGTGACTAACTGCTCTATTGCCGCGCACAAACTATTATAAAAATAGATTTAGCTATAGTGATGCCATTCTTTGGAACAGTCTTCCTTGCGACTTAAGGGAACCAGAATCCCTGAAGCAGTTTAAACGCCTACTCATAGGAGATGTATAAGGCACGGCGTTCGCGGAAAGCAGCTTTTTTGTTTAAATATTTTTATCATACCAGACATTAGAAACTAAATGTATTAGGTAGTTTTAAGCTGACAAATTTTCGGCGTTCTTAAATAAAGATTATGTTTTGCTTGTTTGTTTTAGTATGAGAGTTCTATTACTATCTGAACTTCTTTTTGAAGAATTGTTTTTTTTTTTGTCCGACTGTACTAGCCGAATAGTAAAATAATGTTAACAACGAAATACAAACATCGCCACGCGGCTACTTGATAGTTCGCTAAGGCATGTGAAAAACAGAAAAACAAATTTACAGGACAAAATGTAAATGATATGCTGTGGCAACATACTGTCAGATGAGCTGGTAGGTGTTGTGGCCATGGTGGCTGGTATCCCTGTGTCTCGTGTGCCTGTTATGGCACTCACATTAAAATCTCCAAACCTTCCATTCTTGACAGCGTCTCGAAGTAAAGAAAGAACCTCGCTTTCTCTTACAGTGGAAGTGAACTCCAGGGCCAGATCAACAATTACACTTCCACACCTTGGAATGACAGTGACAAATTAGGTTCAAACTAAGGGTAAACAGAGGAATTTCATGAATTTTAATAAATTGTGGTTTTCCACGGAAACCAGTGGACGTCCAGCTTGGCACTATACCTGAAAATGCTTGGATTGGTGACTGCTATCAATGTGCCAAATTTCATGCTTGTATCAAAAAGTGCACAATTTGCCGCAAATTAGCAATCAATGGGTGGTTTACAAATTTCAATGTAATCTGTGCGACGCAGATTATGTCGAGTACACAATCCGACATTTACACCAACGCATCAGCGAACAAAAATATTGGGCAATCGGCAGGCACATAGAGGAGCACGGGGTAACGAAGTCTACCTTAGAGGACAAACAGTTTGCTGTTTTGAAGAAATGCAGTTCGAAGTTTGATTGTTTAGTTTTTGAAATGCTTTTCATTAAGGAAGTGAGCCCTGTGTTAAATACACAGAACGACTCAATTCGTGCTAAACTTTACGCGACTCTTTGCAGTTACAGTTCACTTTTTGATCAGACCTAGCACCGAACTCGCAAAGATCACAAATGCACTGCTACATATAAGGCCTGCAATATTCACAAATACCGTGATTTCAGTAGCTTTTATCTACTGGTCGGGAGGTGCGGTAGCCTCATGGTTAATGCGCTCGTCTCCGGATTGAGCTGTCCGGGTTCGAGCCCTGGCCTGGGACATTGTGTTGTGTTCTTGGGCAAGACACTTTACTCTCACAGTACCTCTCTTCACCCAGGTGTATAATG